GTAGATGAGGCCGGAGATGCGCTTGACGCCGCCACGCCGAGCCAGGCGGCGAATGGCGGGCTTGGTGATGCCCTGGATGTTATCTCGGAGCACTTTACGGTGGCGCTTAGCGCCTCCTTTGCCCAAACCTTTCCCTCCTTTCCCACGACCAGACATGTTCTCAACTGAGAAGATTGAATGGGTATTCTTGTCATTACAAAAGTCCTGAGTGAAGGCTGCATAGTGGAGTGGGGGGAGGGATTGCCTAACAATGAAAGAGTTTTTCTTTTTCTTTTCAAGCAGAAGAATGAATTGGGGAGGAGGGGGTGGACATGGAGAAAAGTGTAGCAATAAATGACTGGGAACCCAAGTTTCTGTAAACTTTCATTAAAATTAATAAAAAAATAAAGGAGGGTTGAGACATTATAGGTATTGTAAGTAATGTTACAAAGAAAACTATGTCTGAAAGATGAGATAAAGACCCAAATAGGGTTCTTGATGGTTGTTATGTTGATGGGCGGCCATTGGGGAGAGGCCACAGATGTGCCATGAGTTATAAGAGGTGTCTGTATATTTTTCATTGCAGGAGTTGCTGTCCATTGGAAACCCTGTGCGTGAAAAACCCTCCCTGCCATCAGTGCCAGAACCAATGCATCTTCCTACTACCATAAACCACTGGTGAATATATGCTTTTCCCTTTCTCCTGTGGTGAAGGGAACTATAATTTTCTGTGGTGTGTGATTTACAGAGGGCTGCATTGTTCATTCAATTATAGAGAGGAAGCACTCTGAGCTAGGCCTAGACATGACTGTATTCTGGTACCTGTTGGGCTCTGCTGCTTCTGTTGTGAGACCCTCGATGAATTATTTGATCTCTGGGTCTTAGGCAGAAATAAATTCTGCCCTGATTTCATTGCAAGTCTACTATCAAAACCAAAAGAGAGCCAAGGAATCGAAGGGGATAAGGGGCTGGACAAAAGGAAAGTAATTCTATTCAATGCTGAGATGTTGTGCAGGGCAAATCTGAGAGGATGATGAGATTGAAATGTGAGTGTTTTTATTTTGGAAACACAGGTTTTAAATGCCTAATGTGGGATTCTTCAGAGTGATTCTTTAAGAAATTTGCATTTTATTTATTTTTAATTTCCTTCCACGACAGCTGCTATTTTTTTTGAAAGATGAATTAACTGTACTTCACAATTAGTTTCATTTTCATTTGCGATCAGATAATTTCACACTTAACACATATTCTTCTCTTTCGAAAGACATTTAATTACTCATCACAGCAGGTAAGCGTCTTGCCTCTGTGACAACTGAGAGAGACAAAAATACATTCTTAGTGACAGTGTATTAAAGTGTTGGGTTGAGAATGCCTGGAGACCTTGGACTGGCTGATGCTGAAGATCTAATGTAGGTGATTGTGCGGAAGGACCGTCTGAGTCAGGAGGCCAGATGAGCTGTGCACTGACTGCAGCCAGTCTTTGTAGAGAAGCTGGCCTGTTTAATACTGACTGCCTCCTTTAGCTCCTACCAGGTGGATCAGGTGCCCTTGTTACCCAGGGAGTCAAATCCCAGTGGCACAGCTGGCTCTTGTGCTTGCAGAAGTTGATCTTGAAATCAAGGGCTTTGATTCAGGACACACTCAGGGACCCAACTCAGTCCTTGGAGGAGGCGCAGTAGACGCCCTGAGTTCCATTTGGTAAGCGGGAAGATCTCGGTAATGGGAGTCCTGAAGGAAGCAGATGCCCCTTTGCTTAGCCATTCAGCAGTTACCAGTTTCATGCTCGCTGTGTGTCAAGGCGCTATTGTAGACACTGGGGACTCAGTGGTCCTATGACAGACTGTGGCCACACCCTCCACCGCTTGACAGCCAGTGGGAGCAGGTCCTTGATGATCTGCTACTGCTGTGCCTTGGACGTGGTGGGTGCTCATTAAATAGGAACTGTAATCTCAAGTAACAATATGATGAAGAGAGAGGAAGGGAAGGAGTGCTCAACCAGTAGCCACAAGTTCTTCAAGTTGAGCCCACTCTGCAGGAGAAGGAGTTAGGGATCTGGTAATTTAACGATTATTCTTGTCGTTTTGTGCCTTTAAGTCAGAACCGACTTATAGCTGATCCTCCAGTGAGTTTTCAGAAGCATTACTTACGGGAGAAGAGATTGCTCATCCTTCTCTTACAGAGCAGCTGGAGGATTCAAACCACCTGACTTTGGGATTACAATGCATATTCTTACCACTAGGCCACTATGTGCCTGTGCAACTCTCTCACATGGGATTGACTTGATAGTACACAATAACTAGATACTATCCAAAGAAAGGATTTAGGGGATTATTTTGAAAGAATGGTTTGAGACCGTGGGGACAGGATGTATTACACATATGTACACACAGATGTATAGAGAAAGTGAGAGATTGCGTGATTGATTTTGTGCACAGACTTGGCCCTGAAATGAAAGGACGAGGTAGGCTAGGAGGAGGGCTTGGCAGATGGAAGGCAGCACAAAGAATGGCCTCCTTGGTAGAACAAGCTTGGCACGATAGAGGAAGAATTTGGCTGAACTTGGGCCAGGGAGGGGTGGTTGCAGGGAGGAAACAGTGATATGAAATGAGATCAGCAAGGTAGGTGGGAGACCCTGATAAGGAGTTTAAGTTATACTCCAAATGTGATTTGATGCAACTGCAGAGCTTTGAGTAGCACAGCAATGTGATCTTGTGTTTTAAAATTATTCCTCTAGATCCTGAGTAGAGAGTAAGCTTTAGGAGCAAGAGCAGAATCCATGGACCTTGTCGGAGGGCTCTTCCACTGGTCCAGAGAAAAGATAAGGTGAGACCCAGATTAGGCTGCGAGAGTAGAGTCAGGTGAAGTGGTCAGGCTCATAATATACTTTGGTGGTAGAGCCCTGCTGCCTTGAGTGGGGGTGTGAGAGAAGAGTCAAGTTTATCAGTATTTTTTTAAATACTGGTTTATTTACAAAATTTGAATACATTGATTTTGAGAACAGATTCTTCCAATTTCCCTCTCACACTCCCACCCATCAAATTGTACAACGCCATGATTAATCCCCCTGCCCCCTGCACATCCTCACCCCTCTGCTTCCACACTCCCCCATGGGTTCTCATACTTATTCTACAATAATGGTTTTATACAGTATTTGTTCTTGTGGGACTGAGCTAATTCATTCAGCATAATGCTCTCCAGTCCCTCCCAAGTTAGGTACTAATTTACAAAATTATTGCTTCTGTGTGCTGCATAGTCTTCCATTGTGTGAAAGTACCGTAATTTCTCAATCCATTTGTTTGTGTGATTAGACATTTAGGTTGTTTCCATGTTCTTGTGATGATGACTAATGCTGCTATGAACATTGGTGTACAAATCTCCATTTGTGCCTCAGTTCTCATTTTCTCAGGGCATATTCCAAGTAGTAGATTAGCTGGGTCATAAGTAATTTCTATGTTCAGCTTTTTGAGGAAGTGCAAAACTGACTTCCAGAATGTTTGTACCACTTTACAATCCCACCAACAATGTATAAGAGTTCTTTTTTTTCCACATCCTCTCCAACATTTATTACTTGCTGCCTTGTTAAACTTTGACACTGTTACTGGAGTGAGATGGTACCTCGTTGTGATTTTGATTTACATCTCTCTTATTGCCAGTGATTTTGAGCAATTCTTAATGTGTCTGTGTACCATTCAGATATCTTCCTCTGTGAAAATTCTTTCCATGTCTTTGTCCATTTTGTAATTAGGTTATCAGTCTTTTTCTTGTAGAGGCCCAGGAGTATTCTGTAAACTTTCATTATGAGACTCTTGTCTGAAATGGGATTACCAAATGTTTGTTCTTAGTTAGTAGGTTTTCTTTTGAAATACGGAGTTGGCTGGGGTTGAAATGGTACTTTTGAAAGCCATCAGCATATAGAAGGCATTTAAAACTATGAAGTGGAATGACATCAGACAGAAGAAAAGGAGGGCATCGGTCAGACTTGGACAGAGGAAAAAAAAGGAACAGCTAGACTTTCTATATAAAATTTCAACTGTTGTTGTTGATTGCCTACTAGGAAATAAAGACACATGCTAATGAATATGACATTATTCTATTCGGTGCAAATATGAGTTATGTAAATGGAGAAATATTACATCAAAGTAATAATAAATCCTTATGCTATGTGGAAAATTTAAATTAAAGCAACTTCCTGAAATCAAGAAAATTCATTTTAGAATGGCATCATTCCGAATCTTGTCTGCTGAGTGAATTACCATCTGCATTTATGCAATTGGCGCATGGTTATGCCTTTGGCTGGTGAGCAAAAAGACGGCATCCTTGGCCAAAGCCTGTCGACTGCACTGCTCTTGATTTGCCCTGGTGTTTCCAGGGTCATCTGGATACCTTGCATTCTCTGTTAACACAGTTCAGACTTTTAAAAATTCTGTCATCTTGCTGCCCAAACATTTCTTAAGTGGACATTCATTAAGTTAAAAATAAATGTCTGAAAGTCAGTGAATTTAGGATTGAAAGTTAAATGTAATAAACTTCCATGAAGATGGTCAAAGAAGTGCCATGATTTGTCGGGCTGCTGCTTCAAAATATCTGGAATACAGTAAATTGTGTGCCCCGAAGAAATCCTAATTACTTTGGTTCTAAAATTTTCAATGATAGGCTCTTCTGAGAAAGATTCAGCTCCGGTCAAAAAACCTCTTGTATCCCTAGTTAATTTTTTTCCAGTGACTGTGGTTATGTCTGCAAGCCATCTCATTTTAACTACTTCTCCACAAGAAGTAAGAGTTACTGTGTCTTCCTCTGCCATCAAGAAAAGTAGCTAAATGCTTATTAATAGCCAATGACCTTCTTCTTGAGGAAATGCATTCTTGTGGTTCACTTTCTCTTGCCATTATTCGAGTGTTAGTAGGCTTTTTTAAAGGGGGGGGATCTGTTTCTTGGTCCTCAAGAGAAGCCTGGTGCCACAGTAGTTAGGCACTTGAATGTTGGCTGAAGGGTCATTGGTTCAGAGACACGTGTGGTCTGTGGGAGGAAGATGTAACAGTCTATTTTCATAAAGATGACAGCCTTAGAAACTTTGTAGGCATCTCTACTTTGTGTGATATGGTCAATATGATCAACACTCCAGCAAGGACTTATCAGATACGCTTAAATTGCAAGTGACGTTCTCCTATTATCACAGT